TCTTTAATTATATATAATTACAAAAATAAAATTCCATATTATAATTTGAAAAAATTAACATAATTATACGAAATTATTGTACTAGGTCATAGGATATTAAAAAAGCAAACAATAATACTAATACTGGTTTCTTAAACATTTAAAAACATACTAGTTTATGGGATATTTTAAGAGAGAAAAATAACACCAGTTCATACCATTTTAGAATTTATTTCAAGTTGCTTTATCAATTATCTCACATTGTAAATATGAATTTTTGTTTTTTCCTAATTCTATTAAAATATGATTGCAAATTTATGTTACCAAATTCTATATTTCTATCAACACTAATTATTATATATTAGATTTATTTATTTGTGAGGGTTATACCTTTGTTTTTTAGTCATGTTTATTATAATTAACAATTATACTAATTACAATGATAGTAAAATCTTATATTTTATTTATTAATTTCTATACATTATAAATTATACAATGTATTATTATTTTTTATAGTTATAAATTAGATTTTTAAATTAGATGATATTATAAGACAAATTTCAAATTTATTCTTATTTGTATAGTAAAATGATGATAAATAATAAAATACAAACCAATAATTCTAATTCCAATGTATAATATTATATTTAGTTAGGTTTTAATAAATATTTGATGAAAATCTTCATACAAGGAAAGAACATCTCAATATTCGTATGTTGATGCGAAAAAATGAAAGTTATTTATGGAATATCCCCATCTCTTATTGGATTCTTAAAAAACAACATTTATAATAAATTTTAATAATTTTTTTGGATTTTGTTTAAAGCTTAATCTTACCGATTCGGCTAATTTTCGATCCAGATAGCCGATTCACCTATTCGGATAGATTTTCAGGGTGCCCGATACGACCCACTTAATCCACTACATAAAACCATTAACGTAATGGAACTACCACATATCCTATAGTATACATCCACCATCCACTTGTTAAGATGGAGATGGATATGAGCTGTGGGAATGCATGTCACGTGAATTACGATTCTCGTGGATGCCAGTGTTGGGCATGTATTATTAGTATTTTAGTTTTGTAGAATACTAGGTTATATGGGGTGCCCACCTTATGTTATATAAGTAAGGCTCATCTTTGAAGTTTGCAAAAAGATATAGTTTTCATGTCGAAAATATCACGATGGTTTGAAAATCCATCTTCAATCCTAATTACAAAATTTAAAATTTTAAAAATACTACAGAGTGAGCAGATTTACAAAAATTTTAAAATAAAAAATGGTTTGATAGGGCTGCAGCCCTATCAAAATAAGTAGAGCCTCATCTCATAACTCATCGAAAATTGTAATTCAAGCATTGGAAAACGTTTGCATCGATCATCTCGGCTTGAACAATGTGGTTGTGAAGAAAAAAGTTGGATTTCAAGCTCTACAAACAACGTATATTATAACAAATTATCTAGACCGTCCATTTTGCTCTAAAATAAATGTTCATAGATTTACAAGATTTGTATATATTTTTTAGTCTCAAATTTTATTTTTGGTATTAGAAATTGATTTTAGAGCTATAATGGAGATTTCTATTGCTGAAAGTGCTTTCTGGACGAGGATTTGATATGAAGCTTCATTTTGTTTTCATAAAGCTAGGCTTTAGGAAAACTTCATCCTTTAAAAATATTTGTTCTAGATAACTTGTTATAACATGCCGTTTTCAAGAGTTGAAATTTACTTTTTGTTTCTATCTATACATTTCGATCTCGAAATAATCGGCTGAAAGGTTTATTAACTTGGAAAGACTCTTTTATACTATAATTTTTACGAGATTTTTAGGGTGCATCTTACTTCTAGAGTTTAAAGTTGCAACTTTATATATTCTTTCTTTTTATGCCCTAATGTCCTCTCTCTTCCCCAATGACCTCTCTCTCTTTTATGAGTAAGTGGTAAAGTCCGTGGGGATTTGGGCCTCTACTTTTTTGGTGACGACGGAGGGCTCGACAATTTCACTGCCAAGGCCCCTAGCCAATAACCTCTATGTCTCTTCTAATAACACTATATGACATGTACATGTACACATCTCTCAACAAGTGCTCCCTCTTCCTCTTACTTAAACAAGTTTAATGAAGGAAAAATCGCTAAAACCCATACAAGTTCGACTTTTTACCCACTTTACACCCCAGGCAACTTCCCCCTCAAAAAATGATATTTTCTAGCTAATACCCTTACACAAAAAGTTCATTTATTTTGGACGAAAATACTCTTCCCTCATATAATAAATTATTTATGTTAAAGAGGGCGGTCAGACGATTTTTTTTGCTGGAATGGACGGTCCGTCATTTTGAACAAGCAGTCCGGTTTTTTTTTTTGCTGGAATGGGCGGTCCGACGTTTTGTGGTGGCGGTCCAGCGTTTTATGATGGCAGTCTAGCGATTATTTTGTTGATGGAATGGGTGGTCCGGCATTTTCAAGTTACGGTTCGGCATTGTGAAGCTGCGGTCTGGCATTTTGAAGCTGCAGTCCGGTGTTTTGATATGGCAGTCCGGAATTTTGTAGGGGCAGTCTGGCGTTTTGAAGTACGCTAGACTGAACAGTCTGGTGTTGTACAAATGCAGTTTGGTGTTTCTTTTATTGGGTCCGAAAATGATTTGTCACTGAAGAGAGGGTATTTTTGTCAAAAAAAAATTGTAACTTTTTGAGTTGAGGGTATTAATTATAAAAGATGGTTTTTGAGAAAAATAAGTGAAAAAAGTTTAATGTAGGGGTAGAATGTCTAGAACGTTTGTTTTTTTTTGAGATTTTTAACAATTTTTCCTTTAATAAAACAAACAAATCACGTGCCAAAGAATATGATGCACTCATCTCCTAAAAACAAAACTACGGCCCCTTGTATCACTTACCGAGCCGGTGGAATGACGCTAAATGCTTTCTAAAAAGATAAATTTACTCTCATACCCCTATTAGATATCCGATTTATAATTTTATTTTAAAATTGTTTTGTATGTTGCATTTATTTTTTTTTTGCTTTTGAAATTTTCCAAAATACTCCTACTTCGAAGTGAAAATAACCTTGAATTTGTAAAAAAAAATTATTTCCTCTAACTTCATATCTTCAAATTTTGAAGTAAACTTCAAATTTTGAAAATGAAATTAATGATTTTATTAATAATTTTGATCTTCAAGATTTCAGACATTGCAAGATCTAAAGTGAAGACTTATAACGTGACGTCAAATATTAGAGATATAGATCTCAAGTCAAATGTCCAAAATAAAAGCATTTTAAAGAAAAATAGAAACAAATCAAAATCTAAAGTGGGGTCATTGTGAAAAAAATAGAAAAAACAAACAATGGATATTTATGTAATATACAAAATTTAATGGGGAAATATGTAATAAAAAATACTTGAGGATGAATTTCTCTTCAAAAAATGTGACTACTTTCTCCACAAAGGTATGTTCTTATTTTAAGTAGGTTCTTAGGTTCTTATATAAGAAGCTACTTTCTCCATATGATTGGAAGTAGTTGGAAAGTTCAAATGGATAACTTTAAAAAAATTGAGGGGATCCAAAAAGATATGATTGGAAATAATGAAAAAAGATATGAGGACTTATGACCTCATTGAAGGTATGACATTTAATAGAGCATAATAACGGACTAGAATTCATGTAGCCGACCCCAAATAGTTGGAAAAAAGTTTTGACAATGATGATGATTTCAATTTACAAAAGATAATACCTAAATTTATTAAAAAAAAACATTTATAGATAAATCAACTCTCAAAAACACTAATGTTTAATCTTGCCAAACACTAGTCCCCACAAAAATTCCTTTGGCCTATAACAATAAAAGACACAAATACCCCTACAAAGAAGGAATAAAAGCCCTAATTCCTTTGTTATGTCGATAATTTGCAGCAACAAAAAATAAGTGATTCATCATCCTCTCTCGGCATTTAACTGCTTTACTGCCAAATAGTTTTCTGAGCTTAATGGCAGTGTTCTTAACCAGTCTTCCAAAATAACTGGTTACCCGAGAGTCGTTCAAATTTAGGGATAGAGATCCAATCCACATGTGAATCCTTTATTTTAGATTGAATCTACTTTAAACAATCTGTTTTTCAGATTGGATTTACGTAAGAGATAGAAATTGAGGAATCAAGTGGGGAGATGGGCAAAGTTAGAATATTTGATGTTCCTGCATGAATGGCAGGGAATATCTCTTGTGCATTTGTTTGTTTGGAAGATGCAATTTAAAAAACCACCTCTTCTAGGGAAGCAAATACCGTAAGTTCTATGGTCATCCATAAAGTATCAATATCTCAGCCTTAAATATAAAGCTAAGTGGATACTGCAATATCCACTTCTAATGTAGTACTTCCCCACTATCAAAAGGCAAGTACTACAGTACTAATGACAAGATTTCCAAAATCCTGTCTTCTAGAAAACAAACACGACCTTAAAAGGCAACATAATTTGCAAGCCGGCCTACTTGACCCAAACTTGGACTGGCCGACCAAGCCAAGTCTTAAACTGGGTCAAATTAAGGCTTGCGTTTGTGTTCCTCAATCTACCATGCGGAATTGGCCGTCCTAGTGGAGTCAAAACTAGTTCGACTAATTCAGTCTCTGGGTCGAACATGGTAAGCTGTGAACACAACCCTATTTCCCTCATGGTTTACCTCTCCAAAACCCTGAAAACCCCCTTATCCGCATGATCAATCCATCAACTCAAGGATTGACCTAAGTCAGTGCCCAACTGAGTCCCGGGTTCACGTTCGGGTTTATGAACTATGGAAGGTCGTATTCATACAAGTTTAAAAATATAAAATAAAATAACTTGCTGTCGTGGTAGGGGGTGGTTCTTGCGCGTCAAGGTCTTGGGTTCGTATCCTCCTTCGGAACCCTGGACACAACGCTTTCATTGCCTACGAAGTGTTGTAGGCCTTAAACAATCTCTAAAACATAGAATAAAATAAAAACGAATGCCTAAAAGCTTACCAATAAAAACAAGGAACTTCTGATATTAATAATGCACAGGGAGAATAATATACATTGCTCACCGTAGAGGAAAATACATTACATTCAGTGAAAATTTCCTAATCCTATAAAAATTCATACATGTTGGGATAAAGCTCAGATGATGACATAAAAATTTCTAAGAGTAAAACAAAAATTCCACGGAAAAAATCTCATAAAAAGGAGGACCGCAAATGTATAAATTACATTTAACTTTTTATTTAAGTTGGGTAAGTGCAAAATCCCTACTTCTCTGTGCATGACCCTGTCGAGCATATTTATGCAGCCAAAACTTTCCACTCCCTATATATGTCAAAAGAGACCACTATTCACCTTTTCTCTAAGCCTTCTAACCTTCACTTGTTGATAAGAGTTCTCTCCTCTTCAACGCTGCTTCATCTCTACAATTTTATCCGATAAGGATTGCACGAATTCCTTTGGCCTATGCATTTTGACTCCTGACCAATTCCAAACGCTCAATCCCCAAAATCTCTCTCTCCCCCCCCAAAAGGACTACCTTCCTTGCTCAATTCATCCATAGCTTAAGTACTCTATCCTTGCCACCAGATACCACCTTCTCACCATCTGGACTCCAATCAACAGCAAAAACCTGCATTGAAAAAAGAAGAGATTGAAGGACAATCAGAAACTTAAAGAAATGGTGAAGTTTCACACAGAAGAAGCATTTGTTAAAATGCAGCACCTCATCTGCATGGCCTGGGAGATCCTCTCTTAACTTTTGTGTCTTCATGTCCCAAACCTGGATCCGAGTAAACCGTGGGAGTAAATCATGAATATCACAGTGACACAGAGAAAACAGCAATTCTAATTTAATGAAGATCATAAATAGAGAATGTAGAGAGAGAGAGAGAGAGAGAGAGAGAGAGAGAGAGATTCATGGAATGTACCTTGAGGGTGGAATCCTTGCTTCCACTCAACAAAAGCCTACTATCTGCAGACCAGCTGCACATTTTTCACAAGAACCTTTCTAGTGAGAAAACAAAAACATGGGAAGGAAAACTAAAATGAACTTTTGGATGTGGAGAGAGAGAGAGAGAGAGAGAGTCAACCATATCTGGTAAACAGGCCCCACATGTCCACGGAAAGATGCCACATACTTCCCTGTGTGACCATTCCACAACTTGACAGACTTGTCAAATGAGGCACTGGCCACCCATTGTCCATCAGGAGAGAAGTAAACATGGTTAACAAGCTGCCAAAGAAGGTCAATGATTATTCAACTAACTTGGTTCGCCCTCTGTGTTAACCAAAAATGTGCAACCATATTGACAATCCAAAGTGCAAATTCAACTTTGAAGCCCGAGGTTTCAAGCATAGAAACTGTGTAGTTTATAAAAGAAATGGGTTTTGCATTTTTTTACAGAGTTTGTAAGAACTGATTTATAGGGAATGTGAAATAACTTTCATATCGACAAATTTAGGTATCCAAAACCAATTATCCCTTGCATTTCTAACAACTTAAGAACAAAAATTGATCTTAAAAATAGATAATGAGCAGAATTTGATGTTTAATATTAATCCATGTTTCTGTTAAGGTTAGGTGAAGAGATTAAAGTTATTAAACAAGTATTCCTGCCTCCAAGAACAATTAATCAATATCAGGGAGTACTTGATGCTGCAAAAGGAGTCCTACACAAATCACAATTAAAAATCACAAGGGCAAATCCATACTAAAATGCACTTGATATGGAAAACCATACTCCATCAGGAGTCATCACCACAGTGAGACCCACCATTGGGGTCACTTATTGCTCTGGGGAGCTTTCACTCTCTCCCTAAGACGGCCATCGTTTCAATGAATAGCGATGACCCGAATGAACTATAGTTTCTGTAATATAGATAATTAGATATACATTGCTTTGGAAAGACAATTCTGGACATAGATTTTACCTGTTGGTGACCAGTCAAACGAGCTTTAGGGTGCTTGCTTACAGTTGGTTCCCATAGAAACATGGTAAAATCATCTGAGCCCGAAATCAATCTTTCAGGAAAACTCCCTTTCATTTTAGTGTACCTTTCTAGAGCAGCCTGTAACCAAAAACCATCAGTAAACATCTGAGGTTAACAATTTCAGCAATGACTCCAGAAATTAAATGCACAAGTAGCATTTCTTATCCGAAGAAAAATAAGGTTTTCAGCTGTGGACTGACGACGTTGAAAACTGCAATTATCAAGAGTGTTTAGGTGATAATAACATAATGATGGACTAGCATTACCAAACGAGCCTGAGTTCCAATCCCAAATTATAATAAAAATAATTTGCAGCATTATAGCAATTTACTAGAAGCAAGATAAAACAATAAACTCACAAATCGCAAAAGTTATCACAAATGTGGATCCAGTCTTTTTGCATCATTATAGCAATATACTAGAAGAAAGATAAAACAATAAACTCACAAATCGCAAAAGTTATCACAAATGTGGATCCAGTCTAAAATACTTCAAGTTAGCCACCTAAATCAGCATAGGTGCAAAATCCAATGTGAAGAATCTCAACCTAAGACAATCTAACTTACTATTCTACACATCCTAGCACACAGAAAAAGTTCTCACTGGACACATCACAAACCCCATATCATCATCTTTATAACAAATCGGCCTACTAGTCAACCTATGAAAAATGTTCTCAATGGAGGCATCACAAACCCCATATCATCATCTTTATGCCAAATGGGCCTACTAGTCAACCTGAAAATGTAAACTTACACAAAGAGGCTTCATGAGAGAAGAAGGCTAACAAGTCTAGGCATGGGCATACAAAAATTTGCAGGTAATTACGAGATGATAAGGAGTATAAAACCCAGCATGGCCGCCAAAGAAGTTTATCAAGATAAGTAGCACGATCATCAATGAAATTAGGTGTTTACCTCTTTCATTTGCTCGGGAGAACCATACTTTTTCCCAGTATGATCAAATGGGCCTGTTCGAAGGACATATTCGGTGCTCAATGCAAGAGAATTAACCCAGTGCCCATGCCCCTAAAAAACAAATCAGCCAATTCTTCAATTCTTCGTGTCAGACAAAATAAACCCAAATATTAAAAATGAATATACAAAAAAAAAGAAACATAACGATACAAGCATAAACAGTACGAAATATATTTCAAAACAAAATATATTTCAAAACATACTTGTGACTACAGTCACAGATCGTGCAACTTACCTTGAGCTCACGAATCAGTTTTCCTTGGGTAGTTTCCCATACTTTGATTATACAATCCTGGGACCTGCATAAATGAATGAAAACTTTGGGGAAAAAAAATAACTCCTGCAAGGATCAACTTCAATGTAGACTATAATTAATATATCAACTAATACAACTAATGTTCAAGAAAATAAATGTTCCTTTTAAAAATTATAGTTGAAGTACATAATCACAATGTAACATCTTAAAAAGAAGACAATTGCACAAATGTGCAAAAGCAACCTAACAAGCATAAGACAATCATTATAAATAATCTACAGACATAAAAACCATTGGTCGAATTTGAATTATAAATAAGGACATGACCTCCCCCACATAAGGCTAAAATAATTCCTTACTGAAATCTTGACTACCACAAAGCAACAATACAGTATACAGGCAAGAGAAAATGTTAAACTGTGTAGTGACAAGATTATCATGTAATATCTGTTGAAAATCTCAATTAAAACAGAGATATTACATGCTTGTTCAAAGGTTGAATGCCAATTATTCTCCTTGAAGAGCATGCAAGAGACAATCAAAGTTAGGAAATAAAGGGAAAGGCAATATGGCTTAGAACTTCTTAATTTATGGCTGTGTAGTGACAAGATTATCATGTAATATCTGTTGAAATTCAATTAAAACAGAGACATTACATGCATGTTCAAAGGTTGAATTCCAACTATTCTCCTTGAAAAGCAGTACTGATTCCGCTTTCTTTTTTTCTTTTTTTTAAAGTGGGGAGCAAGGAAATAAAGGGAAAGGCCATATGACTCAGAACTTCTTAATTTATGGTTAATGGGACTCTGCTAGCTAGCTCAACAAGCATATGCAACACAATATTGAGGACTAATTGCAAATCTTCAAATTGTAAAAGTAATTCAGGACTTCTAAGAACTAGCTTAAACTCATATACCAAAGGTTCATTCATACCCAGTATATATCAATCCATCTCCGCCCCACTTCACACAGGTTACTGCAAGTGTGTGGCCACTGAGACACATGACACACTTCCTCGATACAATGTCCCATATACGTGCATCTCCATCTTTACTCGAACTCACAAAACGGCGACATGGAGCTTGAAGATGTACGGGCTCCCAAAAAATCCCAGTAATCCATTTCTTATGTCCCTAGAACATTATAAAAAAATAAACTTCAATGGGAAGATTATTAAAGCAAGCTTAAAAGATGCTCCAGCATGTAATATTTGAAATCTCTAACCAAAAAAAGAAAAGAAAAAGCACTTCAAATTTTACTGAGTTACAAATACGGCAAATTTTGATCCAGCTCTAAATTTAGTTAGTGACCGAATAACGAATAGGAAGTAGACTGGTGCATTGATCTACTGGAAGGGGAAATGGCATCAACGTGCGATGCCAATGTACAATTGACATATGTGTATGAGTTGTGTTCAATTACAGGGCATATCAATAATTGCAGTGGCTTCCAGGTCCATTGAACATCTAGATGAGGATGGTATAGTGGCAGAGACATGATTTGTGTCCGGGGGCACTTTTGGACTGTTAATACAGTCCTTTCCGAGGCTCCATTGTTCAAAAAAGCAGACGCCCAGTGCCTAGGCGGTCCAGAAGGCCTGGGCGATGCGGCAATTCCTGGGCGGGCGCCCAGCAGGCGCCGAGGGGCAAAAATGAGTTCTTTTTTTTTTATTCTATTAAATTTTTTTGAAAAATAAAAGCTTTTAAGGATGAGTTCTAAGTTCATTTGAAACCTAAACCCACAAGAGCCCATTTTAGAGAGAAAGAAACCTAAAAAAAACGAGATTTTGTGATTTTCATTGGATCGAAGTGTTTATCAAAGTTACGGAAATGGATCCAAACATCACCCAGGTAGATTAAATTTAATTTTGAAATTTTTTAATCCTATTAGAGGGTGTTTTTTAGCACCAGAAAACATCTCAGAGGTGGGAGTTTGAAGTTCGACCAATCAAAATACGTGCAAAACTTTATTTTTTAGAATGCTTGTTTTATTTGAGATGTTTTCTTCAATATCTAGTCAAAGTGGAGATCCGGGTTGGAAATATGGATATAACCCGAATCCAAATGACAAAAATTGCATTAGACGCAATTATTGTGAAAACGATACAAAAATAGGCATAAACCAGTTTAAGAAACATCTTGCAGGTATTAAGGGGGATTTTGCCCTTTGTAAAAATGTTCTTGAAGCTATTAGAGAGGAGATTAAGCAATATATGAGTTATGCAAAACAAAAACAGGAACAAAATCCTTATCATTTGAATAGATCTATTTTTGGTTCTTCTAAAAGAAGTGATCCGGGTTGGAAGTATGGTCATAAGTCGAAAACAAATGACAAAAATTGTATAAGGTGTAATTTTTGTAAAAAATATACCAATGGGGGCATTAACTGATTCAAGAAATATCTTGCCGGTATTAAAGAGAATGTTGCTTCTTGTAAAAAGGTTCCTGAAGCTATTCGGATTGAGATTAGACAATTTCTGAATTTAGAAGAACCAGAAAAAGATGAAAATGAACCTTGTTCTATGGAAATATTTTCTCCAAGTTCTTCTAGAAGTGGTGATCCAAGTTGGAAGTATGGTTATAACCCAAATCCGAATGACAAAAATCGTATTAAATATAATTATTGTGGAAAGGATACTAATGGGGGTATTTACCGGTTCAAAAAACACCTTGTCAATATTAAGGGGCATGTTGCCCCATGTAAAAACATTCCTGAGGCTACCAAAGAGGAAATTATACAATATTTGAGTTCAGGGAAGCACAAAAAGATAGAAAAAGGTAGAGTAGCCAAGACTCCTAGGGGCCTCATCTGCACATAGTAAGAGGGATGTAGAAGAAGATGAGGAGGAAGATGCAGATTCAGAAGAAACAGATGAGGATGAGCGTTATATTGAAGAGGGAGATGACTCTGATGATGATGGTCTCGAATCTGATGCATATGATGAGGCTTACTCTATTCCTTCCTTCTGATGATGATGATGATGACTGAAGGATGAAGCGTTAAAGACACTAGACTCTTGGTGTTGAGTGTTGACTATTGTATCCTAGACTGTATATTTTTAGACTGTATATTTTTTTAATGTCTGCATATTTTATTTTTCTTATTTTTAGTTTCTACTTTCTAGTTTCTACTATCTAACTTTTGTGTGTATCAGACTATCAGTGTATGCTTGTATGGTTTTACTATTTTAGCATTGTATGAAATATGGATTATGGTCGTCTCTTCTCGACTTCTATCTTTCTTTCTTTTTTTTAACTAGGCTGCCCAAGTTCTGGGCGCCCGCCAAGGTGGCCGCCTAGGCGCTGGGCGCCACGGCCGCCTGGGTGCCGCCTAGCGCTTTTTGAAACACTACAAGGCTCCTTCAGACAAATGTAAAGCACCCAATAATGAAAAAAAAGCTAGGCTAAATGCATAATAAGTAAATTTATGGCCTTCATAAATATCTTCAGCATAATTCATCCCAAAAGAAAAATCATTTTCAGGGGAGGGGATTCCAGTTCCAAGTTAATATTATGTGTATGAGAGGATATGAGAGTGAAACATTTTTTTGTTCATTGTGAGATTCCTTTTGGCAGCTAGACCCACTTACCTGGGAAATTTCAGATTGAATAGTGTATTGTACTCTCTATGCTTGGAGGAAGGGATAGATGTCTGATTTAGAGGATCATCTTCCCTCATTGATGCTTGCAGGCATTTCAGGAGGCAGGTCAATGTTGCAATCGAGAGGACAAAGAATTATGATAAAGATATAAAAAGAGCAGGTTTTGCAGCCTAAGTTGTCAAATTAAACTGCCAAAGTTCTATAGAAGTTCAAAAAGCAACTTGTGATTGTCTTGTAGGAGAGGGGAAAATGGTAACAGGGGATTATAGCTGAAGAGTTCTGAATGTTGTGCCTGCAGACTCGTAGGTGCAAAAATGACCAAGGAAAAGATTTAAAAACATACATAAAAACAAAAAATAAAAGAAAGAAAATATGACCAAGAAAAAAGGCTTTCCTGGTCCTCCATGGAATTAGTTACTTGAGGGTAGGGCCTAAAGCCAACTCTATACAGGAGACTACAGAATTATTTTCTTTCCATGGTCAGCATACTAATTAAATGCTATAAATTGACGTGAGGATGATGTTCACCTGAAGATGATGTTCCATCCTTCCATGCTAAGAGTATCTTCGAGAAAATTCAAAAATCACCATGCACCTTCAAAGTTTTGTTCAAAAATGAAAATAAAGAAAGCTAACAGAATAAAAGAGACTTTGGCAAGAAAAAAGCTGGGAGAATAAAAAATATTTTATAGGTCAAGTTCCCAAACCCATGGGGTGTGTCATTCACTGATATTTCATGAATGACCTGTGGGATCTCAATGTAACTTTCACATGGACACTTCTAGGATTCATAGATGATAAAAACAACATCAGAAAAGCGAAAAAAGGAGATGAGTGCCAAATATTTCATATTATTGTTCTTGAAACAAGTTTCTTTTTAATCATCAGCATAAATAAACACAACAAAAATGCTAACACTTGATATGAATGTAAGAAACAAAGAAAGATCATGGAGAAATTTTGTCTCCAACACATACTTCACAAGAGAATAATTCATCAGCTAAATCACCTAACTCAGGGGAAGGAATTTACTTTAAGTGGATTGCCTGAAGGGTTTCCAGTCAAGGGGTCCCAGCTTCGAAGCTCTCCATCCTTGCTACCACTTATAAGATGCTTTCCATCAGGTGACCATGCAATGCAGAGAACCCAATTTTTGTGCCCTGAAAACAAATTACACACATTCTAAGTAGCAGTTTGTGCATAATTAACGGACTGAAATAGCAGCAACCAATGTAAAGTGGTATCAAAATCTATTTCAACCTGAACACGTGTATAGAGGGGTCTGAGTATTAAGATCCCAGAAGCGAACAGTAGTGTCACCAGAACCACTAGCCAGTTGCCGTCCATCAGGGCTAAATGCCACAGAAAGGACAGCCTCAGTATGACCTGCAGGACCACGGATATCATATCAATTCTTCACAATTAATCACATAGAGTAAATTTAGGAAATAATGGAAGCCCACTGAAGGCATAACACCAGATTTAGATATAAATTCACTGTTTTTTTTCCTAAATCAGTACTTGACTCATGAAATGCCACAATCTTGATGAATAAAAGCAATGGAAATGAACCATACCAGCAATAGTTGCAGAACATCGATTGACTGGACGAATCCGAAAAATTGCTTGAGGTTGGTAAACTATGTGCAGCGCTTTCTCCACAGAAACTGCAAGAAAGATCCCAATGAATAATCAAAGAGAACCAAACATAAACATGATAAATGCTTGATAGGGTAATTATCCATTAAACAGCACATATGATGAATAAGACGGAAAAGTTCAGATTCAAATACGAATTCATGGATTAGAAAATAGTCTAATCATAAGCAGTATCTTTTCCTTACATTTGAGCAGTATATTTTCCTTTTTCAAATATAATTGAAAAAACCATATTCAAAGAAATAACTTAGGAAATGCACATACAACACAAAACAGTTCAACAAAGTGAATAAGAAAGCTGTAGATACATGAATGGATTACCTTTGTTTTTCTGTAAATAAGACCCAAGTTGCATGGAAAGTTGTTGATCTGACACATAAAAGGCATAAGGAAATTTCTCCTCCTGATGGAAGCACATAGAGTATTAGACATCACTAAACTCGTTAAAGTTCTGACTTCTGAGTCACCACATTGCATTTGCCAATGAGAAATGCAACCATCTACAAGATTTGCATTCCACAAGTTTATGAAAGGCCTTTCAAGTTCAAAATAAGCATGGAATGTCAATTTCTACATGAGATATGTCTCGTGTCTGTAGCCATGAGTAGGCACCTATCACACTCCACAGAGCAGATTCTTTTTAAAAAACGAAAAAAAATTGATTTGGTAGTCATACACATTTCGTAGTAGCTTTTGTAAGCAAATTTTCCAATTAGAACCACCAGCATTGGAAGATCCTAAGCACCAGATTTGCTTTAATATATATATATATATATATATAACACCACATGCACTCATGCACATGCATGAGGCACAGAGACACTCATAATTATTGCCACATTTATTGAAGAAATAAAATATTGACTTCTCTATAAATTAACAAAGAGGAACATAAGCTGAGGAACCCTACTTTGATCCAAGAACATGACTTATTCAGCATAGACCGCAAACAGGTGCCGAGTTACATTTACAAAGCAACATGAACATCAATTAAATGTATATTGCATTTTTATCACAAGATTTTCTGAGGAGTGAAAGAAGCACTGCATTCCAAAAAAGTCATTGAGAATTTCAATTTCAAAATACAAATACAGGCAATTTCAAAATCACATATTAAAATTCAGAACACAGTTTCCATAGACCTAGAAAAATTTGATCCTTGACACATCAAATTTTGAAACTAATTCACAAGTACAAATTCAAACTTGATACGTATACAACTATTCAGTTGCAGCTTCCAAATCAATTTCCAAACTTTCAAAAAAAAAAAAAAAGAGAACATTACTACTTAATCAATGAGATTAAAAGAAAGACAGAATATAACGTTTCTGAAAAATAATATCCAGATCAAAATAATCTTACATTGTGAAGGAGTGTATTGACGAGATCCTGTAGCTGAGCTGGTCCAGCGTCCTGTGGAAGATACAAGGGAAGCCCTAATGGAGTTCCCTCGGGATCAGTCAACAAGCAAAGCAAGTTGTTTCCTTTTTCTTGATCAGGTAACACAGTGTTGTCATCAGTACCGCCATTTCGCTCTTTCATCTGGTTAGGGCAAGAATCAAAATGGTAGAAGGAGAAAGCTCGTATTAGAGAAAACCACATTGACATTGAAGAATAATTAGAGTGCTAGTTAGAGAAAAGTAAAATTAGAGACAGAAACAGATTAATATCAAGAAAGAACAAGAGTGGCACTGCGACAAAGGTGAAATTAGCGAGAGAAACAGAATAAAAAGCGATGAAGAATTAAAGCGGAGGTGAGACAAAGCTGAAATTAGAGAGAGAAAACCACACTGAAGAAGTAGAGTAATGGTGAGAGAAAATCGAAATTAGAGAGAGGAAGACTAACGTCGAGAAAAATCAGATTGGTAATGAGAGAGTTGCAATTATAGAGAGACGGAGGAAATTGAAAAAAAGGGCCAAAACAAGAGATATCAGGAAAGAGGTTGCAGATAAGAGATAAACCCTAGATAATTCTCCTCCTTCGTCCTCCATATGCTCTGCGCTCTCTCTCTCTCTTCCTCTAAAACGTAGTTCAGCTTAGGAGGAACCCTAAAAATTCATGGAAGGGCGGGTCCTACTTTTCCGGTCCCGCCCGCCAAAATGAGAGCAAAAACATCCTGCTGGGGTTTTGGTGCATCCGAAGACGCAACTATTACAGTGAGTCCATCGCTACTATTATAGTGTCTCCACCCTTCATTTTCGCTCTAAATTTTTACTAGTTGATCGTCTCGTTTACCATTTATCATGATTCCCAAAAAAAACAAAGCAGAAAAAATTTTCAAGTGCTGCGAGCCTGCGACAGTCCACCCTTCTAAAATCTATTTTATAGGTTTCATCTGGATTTTATTCAAACAACCGTGATCATGATTCAAAAAGTAAAATAAATTTTGAGCTTTGAAAGAGTTTGGCCCTTTCGAAATCTTTTTTGAAGATGGATTTTGGATCCAAAATTTTATAAGAAAAGGATATTGAGCTTTATGGCTGGTTTATATTATAATTTTCTATAGGAAAAATTTATCAAAATATCTATTTAGCATTTTACACTTTTTGATATGTTTTTGGGGCATTTAAATAATATGGGTACAATGCTAAATAGTTTATCTTACCTGGGTATTTCGATAATTTCCTTTTTTATATTGTAATTTCTTTTTTTTACTGTTCATTTCAAGGCTTTAGAGATCATCATGTTTGCTTTGGAGATTCAATTCGTGGACATGATAGGAACAGTTTTTTGATGATTTGGGATGCATTTCGGGCTATAAATTCCTTGAAAGTTGGTGTCGACTCACCAAATACTTCTCCATGTGTGTGAAGAGGGCAATGTAAATAACGCATTTGATACTCCATATCTACCCCCATGTGATATTCTATGGATGATCTACTGTTGCGTGCTTTCTTAGCTAATCAATTCTACCGCCCACAATTAAGTATAGATGAGAGGTGTTGGTCACGACTACTGAAATACTATACTCATTTCTAGTACCATGTCCCTATCCAACCAAGAACATGCCCTATTTGATACGTTCATGGAATAGGTATTCGGACCTAGTAAATGATCAAATATATATCCGATAACATTTGACGATGAATTGCTACCCAGTTATTCTTTTTAATGAGAATAGGTGCTCAACTTTATAATATATAGATGTGCACAATGGTTGTTAAATATGAGTACCTAAATTTTTATACTTTGTACCAAGGTTTCAAAAAATGGATCGGTGACTTGGATCGGCTATCTAAAAAATCGTATTAGTTTGTTGGATTGGCGATCCGGATCGAAGAATCGACTGGTCTCCACCTCAAAAATTTTTCAAAAAATTACTATAGTTTCTCAAAAATATAGTCTTTTAGATTTCTAAAACACATTATGATTTTTCTTTTCTTTTTTATAACGTTCCAAAATTATTGATAATAGAGCAAATTACAAGATATTCAAGACACCATAAGTAGTAACAAGCGCCTCCAAACTAACGCCCCTTTTGGCTAGGGAATCAACGACATCGGTGGCGTCCTTATACACATGAGTCAGAGTTAAGTCAGACATCAGCTTGAAAATCTAAAGCCCAATGACTTTAAGTTGTCAAGGAAAGCGATGATCTTTCTTGCACCATTTAATGATATTCATCGAGTCCCCTTCTATAAAAACACCTTCCACAGTGTTCCTTGCGACCAGTAGTTTCAAGCCGTACAACAAAGCTTGGAGTTCCACATGGTTTGCCGTAGCAACCCCACACGGCCCAGCATACGCGACTAAGACTCGTCTTTTCCAATCTCGAAAAACACCACCAAGCCCAACTGGCCCTGAATTGCCCAATGAGCGCCCATCAAAGTTCAGCTTTAGCAATCCTTGATCTGGTGGCTTCCATTTGGTGCAATGTCTAAACTTTGGCATATCCAAAAGAAAAATGTTTGAGAGGTCAATAAAAACATCCACCATAGATAAACCCCGACCAATCTCTATAACAGAAAGTCACGACTGGTTTATCTCCAGCCACACTTCCCAAATAATAACACCACGAAGAATCTTCTAGATAGAACTTCCAATTTTCGTCAAGGGTACATCCAATTGGGTTGTTAGGTCCAATCAGTGGTTTTAAAAACAAATTGGTGCCCTAGATTGGGCACCAAAAAAACCCATCCGGATTGGGGAATCAGTGATCCGGATCAAGAATCAGCCGAATCGGTTAGATTAAGCCTTAAAAAAAATCTAAAAAACTTATTAAAATTCATTATAAATGTTGTTCTTTAGGAATCTAATAAGAAATGGGGGTACTCTATTGAGAACTTTCATTTTTTTGCATCAATATGCTAATATTGAGATTTTTTTACTGTATGAACTATTGTTAACCATTATTATTAATTATAATATAATAAACATGATTAAAAAAGTATCAGAAAATGTTTCCATATCATATGATTAAAAATAAAAATAAAACCCCCGATAAATTCTAACGTTATGATATTAAAAAATTTCAAAAAAACTTTATCCAAAAAAATGAAAATAGAGATATCAAAATTAAAAAAAATAAAAAATGCCTATCGACAACATGCACAATAGTTACAAAAAAATAAAAATAAAAATACATGTGGAAATAAAACATATCGAAAAACTATTTTAATAATGAATATCAAAAACTTTTATATGAAAGTTTTTAAATTTGGCACTCTAATTAAGTCATTTAATTAGAGAAATATGTTGATGAGGCTCATTGGATATGATACACTAATTTGAAAATATGATAGGTTAATATTTATAAATTAATTGCTACACTCATTAATAATATTAAACTAATTGACATGTTCATTAATTCATTTTTTAGAGCATGATTAAAAAAATTAAAACCCTTCATAAATTTTAATATTATGACACTAAAAAAAATTTACACTGAAAATTAGAAAAAAAAGCTATTAAAATTTTAAAAATAAAAAAATGACATGTTCACCTGACTCCATTTATTGTTGTAAAAAAAAAAAAATATTGCGTGCAAAAAATGGGAGTACAATGTCCCACATCTAAAAATGAGAGTGTAAAATGACTATATAAAAGCCATGATTTTCCTGTCGTGAGAAGTAAGTTATTGAGAGTGTGGGAGACTGCTGCTCTCAACGCTTGTAGAGAGGGGGGACGCGTGGCATGGAACTGATTCATCCTAGCTACATTGCTAGGAACCGACAATACGATTTTGCCCTATTCATTGCAGCCATATGTATTGCTGAGAAGAGTGCGATTTTTCTCTTGACACGACCGATTTTCGATATTACGCAAAGGTGGCCGATTTTCGTGTCGACCCAGGTGATTCTTTCTTTTTGACACGTCAGATTTCGATTAAACCACTGATTTATGATATTGCGCAAGAATCGGCATGGGGTGGCCGATTCTCATGTCGATCCGGGCAATTCCTTTCTCTTGACACATCAGATTCTGATTCACTGAAGCGTATTGTTGAGAACCAGCGCGATTGATTTTTCTCTTGACACGACCGATTTTCGATATTGCGCAAGAATCAGCACGGAGTGGCCGATTTTCGATATTGTGCAAGAATCAGCACGGGGTGGCCGATTTTCGATATTGCGCAAGAATCAGCACGGGGTGGCCGATTTTCGATATTGCGCAAGAATCGGCACGAGGTGGCTGATTCTTGTGTCGACCTGGGCGATTCCTTTCTCTTGACACGTTAGATTCCGATTCACTAAAGCATATTGTTGAGAACCGGCAATTTTGCCCGATTTGCTGAAGCGTATTGCTGAGAACCGGCAATTTTGCCCTATTCACTGTAGCGTAATGCTGAGAATCGAGTGATTTTTCTCTTGACACCACTAATTTCCGATATTGTGCAAGAATCAGCACGGGGTGGCCGATTCTCATGTCGACCCGAGCAATTCCTTTCTCTTGACACGTTCGATTTCTGATATTGTGCAGGAATTGGCACGGGGTGGCCGATTCCTATGTCGGCCGGGGCTAATCCTGGCCGACTCGACGACTTTTAAACCATTGGGTCCAACACATTTGGTGGAAAAGTAAGGTTTATCCCAACAATTGAAAGCACTACTACCAAATTTTGGACACAAATGAACAATAGATAAAATTTTGGATACAAATGAACAATAGATAAAATTTTGGATACAAAGGAATAATAGAAAAACAAATGTGCCGCACTGTTGCCATCTTCCTTACACATCAAGCATACATTTGTGATAATCATGCATTATGATTTTTCATTATTGTGCCAAAAATATGTAAATATTGAGAACACATCTCATGTTAACTATTTATTGCCTATTAAATTCATTTTATAGTAAAAATAAAGTTTAAAATGCAAAGTAACAATAAAATGGATCTTTCTAATTCATTTTAATTTTTTAAAGTTTGCGTTAACTTAGGAATTTTGATTTTTGAAATAAGCTCTATGGAAACAAAATAATAAGATACATTGTTAGTAGAGAGAGAATTTTAGTGGAATTGATTGTTTCTAGAGAAAGAGAGAGTTTTAGCATAATTGATTGTTTGTAGAGAAAGAGAGAAAGGTTGTGAGTCCAGATAGAGAGATATCAAGGTGATGTCGAAAGGCAACTAATTTAAAAAAAATAAGGCAATTAATTTGCCCCATATCAAAGATTGTATATAGCAAATGTCTGTACAAAATACCTCACACATTACATGTTGATTGAGAGGTATATGCAATGCATGCTTCTGATGAAGCCCATATGATATATTTGAGATTAAAAATATAGTACGGGCTTTTGTGCCTCTTTTGAAAAAACAAATCAAATTTTTTTTTTTTTTAAAAATACACTTATCAAGCTTTCTCATTCAAAACAATTCAAATCTAGTTAAATAAATCCGATTAGTTACATCAGAGATCCAGCCAGTTCAAGAGGACCCAGCCGGTTCCCTATATATGATGAATACCGGACTGACTTCGACAATTTCCAATCCGAATCAGACAATTCAGATCTGGATCGACGAATCTTCAAACCTTGTTAAAAACCAAGCATAATAATATCCTATCTTACCGAGGACAAGTGCAAAATAATATCTTACAGTCTCATTTGGCTTTAAAAGTAGACAATGACTCATCTCCCACCATCAATTGAGATGTACAAACGGCAGATGTTGAGTCTGAACACCCTAGAATACCGCGATGTGAATTCTACACTTGCGCCTCGTATAACTCATAAAATACAAGAGTGAGCGATGCAGTCTGATAGAGGAATTAGTTAATCAGTGAAGACTCGCCTCAGTCGGACAGGTGACATGAAAAATTAAGGAGCACACAGGAAATAAGAGAAGAAATTACAAAATAATATAGATTCTTTTAAAATTAAGGCACAAAATATTTATTATATTTTAAATACAAGTAGCTAATGCTACATGTGCTGCAGGATGCCTCAACCGAGAATTTAGATAAAGTTTATTGTTGAAATAGTGAGTTGGAGACCCATTCATTATCCTCAAAATCCATTAAATTCCCTCAAATAATGAACAATTGAACAATAAAAGCCCGTGAAAGTTCATTGACTCAAAATTTCATCACTTCCTTGCGTACCATTGATTAAGAAACACAAAATTTTTCAATTGGTAAGACTCAAAAATCTTAACCAAAAAGGAAAAAGTAAAATGGGAAATTCTAGTCCTCATAATTCAATCCATCATCTTCGATCTCGACATCAACATCATCGGAAGGGCCCATCAGAGAGAGAAAGACAACCACAGCAATGAACTGTGCTGCCAAGAAGTACTTGCCCCTCCTTTTGAAGGTCTTTTCCTCCTCTGTTTTTTCCTTCTTCTTAGGCTTTGCACCTATAACAATGGATGAGATTTAAAAAGTAGCAATTGGATTAAAAATTGGTTGAAATGCATATTTCTATTTCTGAATTTAGGTAGTTTATGTTTACATCAAAGGAAAATTTGAAATAGATGCAGGCAGATATTGTTCAAGATGTTTCTTGGAGAGTAAATCCTATATGTTACATGGATGATTAACTTCTGCATAACTTTCAAACCAAACATAAGACGATCAAACATAATCTACTCTAAACCACGTCCCTTGGCTATATTGCACCTAAACATAAGCTTTGCTCATTTTACATGTTATCCTTTTGTTCTAATACATGATATATTTTTCATAAGTACATTTAGAAAATAACAACATTAAAGAAAACAATATTTTCTTATATTTTCTCTGTAATTTGACAATAGGTAGGAGGCTTTTCAAGAGTGAGAATGATCAAACAAATTCCAAGCATATGGGTTATGAAGACACCAATGTCATGGTATGATTAAGAGACCGTTACCTCCACGTGAAGCTCCACCTTTGCCTCTTGATGTCGAGGATGACCATGATGATGAAGAACCAAATGAAGCTCTGGGTACTGATGATGATGACGACGATGAACTGGCTTCCAAGAATTGGGTCTTGAGACTCTCAGTGTACCTTACTAGATTTTCATGCTCCATGAGCTTGGATCTCAAGATAGATGTATCCTATAATATTAGAAAAACAAGCATTAAGCATTGAAAATGTGCAGTATTTCACCGTATTGCCCAAGAAATAAAAATTGGGATAGCACACTATAAGACCATCCATTTTTCGCACAAGAAAGTTATAATCACTTCTAGCCATAGGATGTCAAATTGGACACAAGGTGTGCCACAAAGTTCAAGAGATTTCTTTTTTAACTTTGCGCCAGCTCAATGGCACACTCCTAGACATCTGATTTTGAGTCATAACGGTTGGTGGTAATTGTGACCTTATACCAAAAGTAAATGATCTCTTTGTACACTTTACCATAAAAAATAAATTTAAAGACAATGTCAGAATGACATCAGATTAAAGCAATCCTAGGATCTCCTTTGTAGGGCACATTTGCTGTTTCTTAAAACTCATGCACCTCTTGCAACTAAGTAGATTTTGTATTTCAAAGAATGTATCACAGTCCAAGTCAAATAGCATATCGATGGAAGCAGAGGCATCAACAAAAAAACCAAAAAAACTAGTAATACATGAGAATGCAGTGCCCAACAGGCTAGAACTAGGACAAAATGAGAAACCTAGATGCAGCTCGTAATGACAATTTACAAAGTGTAGCACTAAGAGGAGAACTTACAGCTGAAGCATGAATAACAAAAAGGGTCTGTCCAAGGAAAATAGCATCCAAGCTTGTAGGCCTGCCAAGAACAAGAAAATAAATGGCCAGTGAATTTCACAAAAAGATTAACAAATAATGAAAATTTCACAATTTTCTTTTCCAAAAGTGTCATGTTAATCTCACAAAACAATAAGTGAAGAGAAAAATAGTTCTGAAAGGGGACTTGATAACAAAGAGTGACTGTACATGGAGATAGTGGCTGTCTAACGGGGGTTTGAGATTTTGCTGCATGTAGAAAGCAAACCTTGTTTTGCTAGCCTTTGAGGAGAAGGGTGGAGGGAAAGGAAGGAAGATGATACACATGGAATCATGTCAAAAACAATGGTAGGAGGCAGAGCAGGAACGCAAAGTTCAAAGCATTATGCCATGATAAAAGACAAGAAAAGCAAACTGTGTCTTAGCGTCGCGAAGCTAGAAGAAGGAATGCAAAGTTCAAAGCATTATGCCGCTTTCGCCGCCTTAGAGTTTCAGATTTTGAATTAGCTACTACTACTGTATATGTAGAATGAAAATTCTTGTAGAATCGAGAATGAAGCTTTCATTCTGTACATGCCAGATCATGCACTAGTAACTGCACCCAATCTCCAAAAAAGTCCCAATTGTTTAGAACTGTAAACCAGCGCTCGAGGCTATCGCCGGCCGAAGATCGTCGAATGAATGCCTTCGCCTCTTGATGTTCCAAGAACTTCAAAGAAGTGTAGCAACCCATAGTGGAGTAGGTGGGAAGGAGGCATGCTAATATAAAAAAATTTCTTATGCCTGGTGGACTGAATTTAAACCCGCATACATTTTGGTTTGCCACCAATTATCAATGAATAGATAAATAGGGAAATGTACACCAGCCTCCTGTTGCGCACCTTAACAAAATTGAAATTACTATTTTTCTTCAAATGCCATGCAGAGTCAGCATGGAAGTTCTCATCCTAGGGGAACAACAGGAAGTATGCAAGTAAAACAATTTTTGGGTTTCATAGCTAATGCAAAGGAAAATTCTCTAGCCATGGTGGGTGTATCTATAGTTGGATTGGGTGTTTAAGACCACTACCCTCCTTGTAGTTAATGAATGTCATGTACCTTTCGTACTCTTTTCCTATTCATCAATTAAAGCTCACTAACAAAAAAAAGGTAATCAGACATCCAGTGCACCAAACAAATCAAGCTCTACACAATGCCAAATAGAAGATTAAACCATAATTCAAGTTTCATATTGTTACTTATGCTTTCAACTGTGAACAATCCACACACCCAACAAGAATAACTTATGATCTCACCTATTTTCAAAGAAAAAGTTCTGCTCTCCAAGCTTTGTGGAGAGCGCATCATATGCTAGAGCAGCCTTCAGATAAATCTGTGTAACCACTAAATATAATAAGCAACAATCCTTGGTTGATATAAACAACCATTCATTCTCCTATACACATATTTGGCAACATTATAGAGACAAACATTGTAGACTTATATTTTAAACTAATAGGGAAGAACATGGACCAAGGCCATTTTGAAACAAGTGTGAAAAGTATAAAAAAAAATACTAAAAAAAACTTAGAAATCCACATAAAGAAAAGATGTGAATAATGAGGTCCCTATTAAGATATCATTATGCAAATCCCCTTCATTTGTATTACATAAAAATACATTTCCAATGTGACGACATCCAAAATTAGGAACCGAACCAATGACAACAGGAGACAACTCACAAGAATCTTCCAGGTACATTCAGCCCTTCAAACATTAAGCAAATTGTTATTTTACATGCTAAATTTCCAACATTGAATGCTCTTTTTTTTTTCTTTTTTTCTTTTCCTGGTTGGGTTTTTGCAGTGGAGGGGGGATGAGAGAGAAAGAGACTTGTGGTTTCCCCAAAAACAAAAAATGCTTTGGGAATTTTAAGTACAAGAGAAGATTAATTTTGGCATGAGGTCTCTTGTATTTCATTTATAGAAGAAAGACTCAAAATACCTCTGCTTCTCTTTCCATAGCATTGGCTTCCATTATCCCAAGGAGTTGCTTCATATATTTCGTTTGCTTCCAGTGAAGAACCTTCCCAATTGGCCAGGGAAGGTCAGAAAAATATATCTTATCAGCAACCACTCCATCTGAGTTCACCCAAAGCTCATATAGCATGGCATCTGAAAGCCAAGAGGTAATCATTGCCTTCATTGCCAACCAATCTGGGACAATGTGAGTAGGGAGCTTTGAGTCCAAATCCACAATGCCATCTTCTTTAAGGCCCTCAATTGCCCCACCTTTCTCACTGTTGAATGCCACATAATCGCCAAGTTCAACTGATGGTATATCTTCTGTTGAGAATCATAGATCCATTACAGCAAAATTAATTTTTCCTCAAGAAACAAAAAACAAAAATCACAGATGCCATTGAAGTAAAATGAATTTTTCCTCAAAAAAAAAATTCCACAGACACACACACAGACAGTTGGAAATATTATAATATGGCATGACACCGAGCCAGGAAACCTGACAAAATCTACATGTTCTGGGAGGATGAGTAAGATATATCTACCAACAATCAAACATTCCATGACAGAACCAAACATGGAAAATGTGAGAAATTATGAGACCAAATCAGTGTTAGACTACTCAGGCTAGTCCAGTCAGACTCACCCAAGTTACTCGGCTTGGCAGTGTGCGAGTCCAAAGCGCCCTAAACTCGAGAGCAGCAAAATTAATATACAACTAATTATATTTCACTCATATTTGATTGAATCTTTGATTAAAATATTATAGTTGACTTATATTTAGTCTTATGTATTCTTTTTATGGTTTTATGTTTTGTAATGATTTTTTTCTAATTTTCTTATTTTTCTGAAAATATGTTTTTTAACCAGTTTCCATTTTTTTTTTTTTTTTGTAAACTTTTTTCGCATATTTTATATACTCTTTCTCATTTATTTGTTTTTTTCCCCCTTTTAGGATTGTTTTCTTAAGTTTTTTAGTCTTCTAGGTCACTAGGCTGCTCGGTGCAGACCCAACAAATTGAACACAAACTCACCCAAGTAACTCAGACAAGGCAGGGGCTGAACCGAGTAGTCAAAAACTCTAAATACAGTATCCTTCTATTACATTAATAGTTGTTTTCATGAGAATAGAAAAGAGATACATCACGTAATCCAAAGAAATCTCATTAGGAAAACTCTGCTGAACCATAAAAAGATTAATGTTGTACTAAATTAATAGCTATCAAACAAACAACAAAGCTTGTCTGAATTTAAAAAGAACACAAAATAGACCAGATACAAACCAGTAGGCTATCTCGCGATAGACTAGAAAGTTACATTTATTCCAAGCTCAGCCATTTGGATTATCTATTATGCCCCATATTAACAGGTTTATAACTGCATCAAATGGACAACATTTGCAAAAGCATCCACTTTAACCAGATGAGAGCCTGGTCCATTTCAAACAAATTAAAAAAAAAATTAACAACTAAGACAGGCAGGCTATGATAAGAACCAGCTACTTCAGCCATGGGGGGTCAGATTCAATATGAACTGGGTTGAGCCAGCTGATCCAAGCCGATGTTAATGATAAACACCATATCATTCAATGCTCAGTAAAAACCACCAGAGAAAGACCACATAAGGCATGAATATGAACCTGCTTCATAAACAAAATCTACATAATTTCTTTTGATACCTAATAACTTCATTGAAAGATGAATTCTCCATTGGAAGTTAAATTATGTACCCATATGTGAACTGGGAACCGGGATGGCTCCTTGTTACTGAAAAGAGAGGGGAAGAAAGAAAAGAAAGGAAAAGGATGCCCCCCTATAATTTGTCTAGAGAATGCTTTTGCTGCTTTTCCCATCCTATTTAAGACCCTATTGGAGACATTAGCAAGAAAGTGGTCCAGCCATTTTTTGATTGAGATTCATAAAATATTACATAGCAAAACTAGTGCGACTGTTCTAAAAGCTGCTACAACTTACAAACTTATGAAACCTTAGATAAACTAAGTTTCTTTTTATTCTTCTTCTTTTTGTTTTTTTCCCTAAAAAAAAAGATGAAGTGAGATTAGCAAGTTAAACTAACTGGGATACAACATTTATGACGGACACCAGAGCAACAGAGATTCAGTTATTAAACAATAGGTAAATGGGCCAGTGTTGGGCAACAAAAATATAAAAAATTCATGCATGATGGTCATGAATTGGATATAATAGAAAACACAGTGAAATAAAATGCAATGAAAATCTGTTAATGCTTTTTATTTGAGAAACACATAATACAATTTGATATACAACAGACTGCAGACATGGGTTTGCATGAAAATGAATAATAAATGGTAAAATGACACAAAACGTAATAGCACTGGGTCATGATACAAAATAAAATGTAACACAAATGTATGATTATTATTTTTTACACTTGGGAATAATGTATGTATATGTGTGTGAGTTCAATTATCCAACTATGCAAATTAACAGATGAAATATATCATAGATTTTTAACCATGAATTCAAATACAATAGTTTCTACAACAATGATAGAGGTATATATTAATCCTTAAAAACAACATAGAAAAATGACAATTAATACTCAATTATACTAATTAACAAATGGAAAGAACACTAATTGCAGATCTTGTTAACCCATGTAACAATATCTGAAACTATAATCCATTGTTATTATAGTCCTGAGAGTATTTTCTTTTATAAAGTATTCGCCAAAATAAATTAGAAAAATTGCAAACTACCAACAAATGAAATATATGAAGTACAACAAGCTGTAAACTCCTTAAACATGAATTTCAGCACAAATAAAATATATGGAGCAAACCAAGCTGCTAAACACCTTAAACATGAATTTCAGCACAACTATTTCAGTAACTGTGATCAATGCGCTAATAATCCTTACAAATGAAATAGCAAATCTCCAACTGCAAAAAGATGATAAGACTCCATTATATAGAAAGCATGAAGACGTTATAGGTTACTACTTATTAGGAATGAATTTCAAGCACTGAAATGGAAGTCGCTAACCAGAGTCTGGACTTGCAGCATCGAAGTGCATGGTGAAAGGTACATTGGCGAACTTCAGGTAAATGTGAACTGGTAAGCATATGGGACAACCAGTAGGAAGACCAAAACATGGCTTTCTGGCCACTAGAACGAGCCCTTCGCTCCCCTCCTCCATCGAATTTCGTCACTCAAAAATCGAAGACCCCAAATTTCAGAACCCAAATGCCCATTTATCCATGTCCCAAAGCCAAAAACCCTAAGCCCTAAAATCTCGCACCCAAATGCAGCAGATTAGTTGTCTACCTTTAGTAAGAGCTTGAAGCCCAACCCTGCAATTCCAGTACTGAGATTTCCCCTGAAGTTTTGCCGAAACTTTTAGAAAGAGAGAGGGAAACCCTGGGGTTTAAGAAATGTACTGCAGTTTTCTGGTTGTTGCCCTATGAAATTAAAGATTGCCAAAATGTTCGAAATATCAGTTTTTCGAAAACGAAACTTAGCCTTAAGGGCGAAAATTGATTTTTGGGTTAGCTCTCAAAAAGATTTCATACTTTCGCGGGACAATACTGCCTGATTACTCCCTTAGACAAATTTTTCTGGGTAATTACTCCCTTAGACAAAAACTAATAAAAAAATAATTCTCGGATTCCAAATTGAGAGATATAACCTCCCGAACCCATACACTTAATGTCGATAAAAAGATTTCAAAATACACTCTCCATATACTTGAAAAAGTCTTGTCTCAACTCCAATTTTTTGATAATTAAATTCTACCTAATACGTCTTCTAATCAATGAAGTAGATACACATCATCATTTCTGCAAGAGCATAGTATATATACTATTTAATAAGATTTATGTGTTATATGAATTGAACCTTCAAAGTTGCATAAGATATCTTGTTTAAAGAGAAATTTGAGGGAATAGTAAAATTAGCAAGAAACAAAATGTATAATTTAAATAAATTTAAGATTTATTCTCCATACCTAAGCTTGGGCATTAAAGTCTAAACTTTTGTCTTTTTCGATTACTAAAGATCATCACACTTCTTATATATTACAATTCAATGTTTCAAATACAAAAAGTATCTAACAAATAATATATTGACGCTTATATCTTAATTTTTAAAAAATTTATAATAACAATTTTATCCATTTGAACAGTACCCATGAATAGTACTCTTGAAAATACTTGTAAATAGTACTCAATATGTAAATAAAAAATATTAAAACCTATAATCCCTAAAAACTAAAAAACCTAGAAATAAACCATAAAACTAAAACCAAATATATATCATTCGAAATTGAATAAAAATAAAAAAAGAAGAATAATTTTGCCCTCCATCATTCTCCCCTGGTTGGAGAAAACTTATCCTCGAGTTTTGAAGTGTGCTAAGATCCATCATTCTCCCCTGGTTGGAGAAAACTTATCCTCGAGTTTTGAAGTGTGCTAAGATAATTCAACATCAAAACCACCTTCTTCTTCTTTATTGACTCAAATATTATTTGTAGTAAAAATAATTCTTCGAGAAATAGATCATGATTTGCATTTTGATGAATCAATGCAAATTTATTGAATACGGGTATCCATGAACTCCCATTGAAATTTGTGTAAGATACTTCAAACCTACTTTTTTTATATTTAGAGGTTTTTTTTACATATATTTCAATACTTTGTGAAATCAAAGCTACAATTTACAGTTTTTAAATTGACCACACTTCCATTGCGATACTTTGATTCAATTACCCAAAATTACTTGAATACTCTATCTCTTCGATATTAATGAGATCTTCCAAAGTCATGATTTGGATCAGTCCTCCTACAACATTCTCTCCATATTCTTCATCCTCTTTCAAAATATATTCATCATCATCTTGATCCTTATTGTACATTAGATTTTCTAATAAATCTTGTTGTTCATCTGATTATCTATCGAAGATTGGTGGTGGTGAATATTAATCAACAACGTGCTTATTTTCAATGCAATTTGTTTCAAAATCAATAATCTCATCCTTCAAAATAAAAACTCCAGAGTCATGTTCTTCACATCTAAATATTTTATTATTATCCTTAACACTCGACTCCCCACGCAAAACATAAAAGTAAAAAGGCTTGTCCTCGAGATTCTCTTGGGCTGAAAGATAATTGTCTTGCCCATTATTAAGGATGGCGAATTGCTACATCAGCTGATGAACTTGCCTTACAAGTTCATCAATTCTCCTATCTCTGGGATCACAAAGTAGATCTACGAAACCCCACCTTGTATGGCCCCTTTATTGCTGCCGTAGGATCACCATAATCACAAACCCTGAGTAGATGATCAACAAAAACCAGCTAAAAATATCAAAATCTATGCTTTGTTATAGATCTGGGGCACAAAAATCGACGCTATAGTATCGTGCTATAGTAGCGTAATACAGTGTCACGCTACGATAAGTTGTTGTAGTACCACGTCACAATAACTTGCTACAATAATGTACTGCAGTATTATATGTATGGATCGCAGGCTTTGATACCAATTTAATGTAGAGAAAATTGAGGAAATAGTAAATTCAGCAAGAAACGAAGCGTAACACAAGCATAAGTGAAAGACCTAAGCTTTTTTCTCTTTCAATTTCTAAAAATCATGTGGAATGGTCCCCAAGGCCCCACACACCTCTTATATATCATAAATTAATGTTTCAAGTATAAAAAGTGTCAAAACAAATGACCCATACATCCCAACTTAACTTAAAATTCATAATAGTTGTTTAACGCTTGTGAACAATACTTCTGAATAGTAGTCATGAGGTAAATAAAAAATATAAAAATCATAAAATCCCTAAAAACTAAAATAACACAGAAATAAATCCTAAAATTAAAATTATAATACACATCATTCGAAACTGAATAAGAATAAAATAAATAAATAAATTGTCCCTTGGTCAACTTTGTATTGAAAAAGTAAAAAAAAACAACAACACACAAATCTACTGGAAAAGTTTGTTACTTTGCTAAAAACCTTCTAATTGATCATCTCAACCTTGAGACATGACACACCAAAGTTAGAGATTTTAAGTCATAAAAAATGCACATCTTGCACACATTATTTGGATATTTCATTTTCATGATTTTTATGTATTTGTAGATTTTCTTGATTATGAACCATTTATAAAATTTAAATTTCATAATCAGAGGAGAAAAAAGATTTTAAAGCAATTAGAGGAGTTTGATTGTTTCAGTAGATTTTGAAGGTACACCTTACTTTGATTGTTTAAGTTGTGGCCTTGTATAAAACACACCTTTTATTTATTGAAAATTTGTTTCATGTAGACTGGACCACATTTCTACATAAGTGGTCCAAAAAGTGTAAAGCATTCATCTTAAAGATAGATGGAAGTAGGTGTTCTATCTAACAATAATGGAAACTAACGGTCCATGGATGCTAGAATTATTATTTGGGAAGATATATAATGAGACCATTTACTTTTGATTCAAGGTGGTCCTAATAAATCTTGACCATTAGATATGAAATTGGGTGGTTGCATTTATTTCATTGACCAAGTTCAAAGTTCAAAAGAAAATTTTTCGAACTTTGTGACACGCACAAATTACCAAATTTCACATTGGATGGTTGTAAGTAATTGTGACATCCCTATTCCAAAAGTAAATGGTCTCATTGTATACAATCCTTTATTATATTTAGTTTTAAATTTTTATTTTTATTTATTTTATTTTATATATTCATGCTCTCCATGTTAGAGATTACATATCTTTAAAAATTAAATGTTAAAATCCATCTCAAAAAATAGATTTATTAAGAGGCACACATTTCTACAAATGCAGGCTTGGCCGCATAGAAACTGGGTCCTTATTTATTAGGCACAGTTTTTTATATGAAAAAATTTCATATAGAGCCGAGTCTCCAAACAATCAAATTAGAGCCCACCTCAAAAATTTCACCAGAGGAAGTTGTTTTCATGCCCAAATATCCTCAAATTGATCATCTCAACATCAAGATGCGTGGACATGAGAAAAAAATAGATTTCAAGTTTTGAAAATAGTACATCTTGTAACGTATTTTTGGATCGTCAATTTTCAAGATTTTAAAGTTTTCATATATCTGCTCGATCTACAATATTTTTTAAGCTTTAAATTTTTATAATTAAAAATTAACATATATATTAATTCTATCACAAAGATTTTTAGCATTAAAGCCATATTTATCGACACTATTTGGAGATGCATTTTACTTTGATTGTTTAGAGTATTGCACCCTTTTTATAAAAATTATCGTATATGATTTTTTTTCTTTTGTTACTGGAAAGAACTCTAGAATTTTTTTAATACCTGGGTTCCTCAAACCGGAATGGCACACCTCCTGATCCCAATCTAACTTGGACTCAGATTGGCGATTTATAAATTACAGATTGGAGGTTAATAAATTACTGAAAAAGAAAGAATATATGCGTATGGGACGGTCAAACCTAAACTCTTTAGGTTGTTTTCTATTAGATATTTTTTTTAAGCCTCTCGACATAGTCATATGAAAATCATGCTTCATTGAACTCCTCTCTTCACCTGACGGAGTATCACAATATGGCGTCCACGTTTTATTTCTAGCACCAACAAAGAATCCTTTCTCATGATTTTTTACAATGTTTCGTAATTTTATTAATTAAAAGGGTTATTACAGGGCAATCAAACTAACAAAACATCCGGAAAAACTATAAAAAAAAAATAGAAAACTCCTTTCCTCACTTCTACAGTTGTATCACACACAAACTATTTTATGGAGCTTTATTATTGGAAAGAAAAAATATACAATAAGATTATTAGCTTTTAATACAAAGATGCTGTAATTACTGTGACTGTTGGATGTAAAAATGGTTCGAGGTGTGCCAAAGACCGAGTTTGAAGTCCCAAAAATCTTTTTTGAACTGTGTGACAACCAGGATTGTCAAAAGTTTATAGCCTTATTTGCTAGGGATAATTATGACCGCCATAAACCAAAAATAAATAATCTTCCAGTACACGATTCCTATTTGAAATTACCAGAGATCGAAGCATTAAAAAACCATGACATTCTTCAACTGTATCAACGGAGGCCTCTGTGTCTCTCAAGCAAACAGAAAAAACCACCTTAAATACAAGTTGAAAATCCCAAAGACCCAATTTTTTAAATGGAATTTGGGCCCATTTCTTTTATGATTTCTTCAAAAGAAAATAAAAGAATCAATGCATTCATAACCATCAACAAGGAGGGCATGCATCTCTGATTCTAGTAACCACCTTAGAATAGGCAGAGCCTGCAGCTCTCTCTATTCTAGTAACCATGTTAGAACAACCAGTGCATGCATTACTAAACTTGTTAGGACAACTAGTGCATGCATCTTGGTCACTTTCAGAAGGGTACAAATGAACAACCCCCACCCACCAAAACTAATTACACAAACAACGCCTCCTGCCAAATAATTACAAAAACAGTAACCCTTTCCATCTTCATGCACGCACCCTTCCTGACTCGTACAAGTGCTTTGCTTTTATAGCTTGCTTTTCGAGCTCTTCATAACCTTGCGCTGAGAGGCCCGAAAATTCAACCAAAGCCTCAAAAACCACTGAAAGACCTGAACACAAGGCACCAACTGTGTCCTCAGCTGTCTTTTCCATCAATTCTCTATGCCTCCTTTTCTCCTCGTCAAGTTGCACCCTAAAGCTCTCAATTCTTTCCATGCCAGATTCTGGCAATAGTGCACCTGCTTCCGGTAATGCATGGCCAGAATCTGGCAGACTAAACGTCAACTTCTCCATCCGCCGACTCTCAGACCTATATGCATTTCTAACCTTCATTTCGAGAGTATCTGCTCTCTTCTTCTGCTTTATCTCCTCAAATTGTTGCTCCGATAAGGTCCTCATGTTCTCCGAGCAAGCTTTTATGCTCCCAAGCACATGGGTTTCTTGGAGTTTCTCAAAAATATTGGCCCAATGCCTACAAATGCTAAATATTGGAGGGGCCCCATAGCGAAGGGGAGAGAACGGAATCTTTGAAGGCTCAGGGTCGAGACGTATGCACCTTAGTAGCCAGCCATTCAGTGCTTGTACATAGGCTCTTTGAGCAGAGACCCAGTTACTGAAACATGTTTGCCAGTTTTGAAGCTCGGATTCTAGCCTGTTGGTGACTCTACGGTGGGGCTCAGAGGAAACACTGGGGTTCACATGGTCAAGTTTCGATTCGGAGATGGCTCTCTTTTGGGCTTCGTGGCATTCTGCCATGACCTTCCACATCCTCGCCAATCTGTATTGTTATTAAAAATGAATAAATGATTAATAATAATGCAACATATATAGAAAAAATATGTGAATTTCACTAGCGTATACCACTTAGGATTTCAATTTTCTACTGATCTGGGTTGTTTGGGTCATATTGGCGAACTGGATCAACGTTATTGGCAATCCTTTTGTAAAAAATCTCAATTTTGTTATCAGCAGTTAATTAGTGACCAAAATGTCCAAAAAAAAAGAAAAAAGAAAAAAAGAATCTCATTTCTTTTTCATGTGGTTCATATTTGTATGGTTCTAACTTCCCGATAGCAGGGCATTTGAAATAAATATCATAAGGCCACGTGCTGAAAGTTATGGATCAATGAGAGTTTCAAAGGGCTAAAATAACATCTTCAGTCTATTTTGAACTAGTTCTTTGTGCCATCAAGGACCTATTAATGATGAAATAGCATGGCCTAGCTTAGGCCAGCTTTGATCGTATTTGACAAGAAAAGGAGTTAGAGAACAGATTTGATGAAGAACAAAAACAAACTTACCTACAATTTAGAGGATTTTCATAGAGTGATGCTTCAAGGGTACAATTGGAAAATAGGAATACATATGTTGTAAATTTCTTTGCATTTATGGAAAGATTACTTTGTAGGCATTGCTTGATCATTCCAGATTCAAGGGTGCTTTGCAATTCCTGAAACAGATAGAGGCAGTCTCTAAACTTTCCTAAAGTGGGAAGTACGGTCTTTTGAACATGTAATATATGAAGCAATTAAATAAGGCATCAGGTTATTCCTACGCAAAATATTCCATCTCACATACATGTGGATAAAAATTGGACACCTTGGTAACTGTTGAAATCCTCAATCATACAATAGGTCTTTACTCTCTGCAATTTGGTCACAGCTTCAACTCTCAACAAGTTTCCACATTTCACATAATCTCTTGTGATGGTGATCTCAGATACAAGAGATTGTTGCAGAATATATCCAATTCGCTCTATTTATGATCTAAAGATAAATTTGATGGGAGAAAAAAAAGAAGTTTCGTTTGGGAAATGGTAAAAAGCTGACAATTAATTATTGACGAACCTATCAAGAAGAAAAAGGAAAGAAGAAATTCCATGCGGTCGGTATCTTCTTCCATTATTGAAGCATATGAAAAATAAAGAAAACAAGAAAAAGACAGGTAAAATCCAAAAGGGGAACTCAATTAAATAAAAATAAAAAACAAGAAACAGACCGGTAAAATCCAAATGGGGATCTTAATGGGAATCTAGAAAGCTACTAGAAAACAAGTCTGAGAAAAGTACCCTTGTATTAGCTCTGTAAGTTGTGGCTCCAATTCCTCATCCCTCAAAGTCTGGATTCTCTTTGACACCGACTCAACTGACTGTATCGAAACTTTGATCCTTGTATGGAGGTCTCTTATTGCTGTTCTGGTCTTGTCCACTGCCCATGGATCATCGCCTTTTGCATCATGGTTTCTCAAGTGCATACACTTCTTTTCATACTTTATTCGTATGCGAGCACCCGACTGCAAAGAGAGGGAACAAAAGGCTAAAATCATTGACAATAATTACTTCAACTAGGATGTGACTCCTTTTCGCTGCTTCAGCTAAAATAGACAATCAGTATTCCCCACATTTATGCCATCAACCTGTTTAACGAATCCAGACACATACGCAAACAGAGAGAGAGAGAGAGAGAGAGAGAGAGAGAGAGAAGACAGTAACTGGAGAGTTTTGGAATATGGTACTTATAAATGTTTAAGTGATTCTCATGCAGTGGTTAATACTAGAGCTTGACTGAAATTAACCATACCTTGACTTCATCATATAGCTTCTTCTCCCATGCGTATAATCTGTCCAATGTGGATTGATGGCTCCCAGAAAGCATGCAAGACTCTTCAGAGAAATCACTACTACTATCATCCATGTCATCTCGGGAACTCGAAGAAGCTTGGAAAGTTCTTGAAGACGAAGAACGTGAAGAAGCTGATCGTATTAAAGCAATTGGATTCAACATCTTCATAGCTGCACCAATTAAAATCAATTGAGAGAGAGAGAGGCCAAATCTTGAACACATAAGAGAGAACTAATGATAAGTCGACAAACTCACCTAAAAGTTCATTTGCAGTTGCTGAGTACTGTGCTCGGCTGGCCTCCAGCATTGTAGAAACTTCATTAGCAGAATCACAAACTATAAGGAACTGATGCTCTATTTCTTTTACAAGCTCAGCCAAACATGTAGCTCTGTGGTTCAAAAAAGCTGTAAATTCAGGGACCCCCTCTGGGACTTCTTCATTAGCCACCTCTTCTTGTCCATCTCTCACCTCGACTTCCCCAGTGTTTTGCGCTTCTGATACTCCAACACTCTCAGTACCCTGAGATAAGAGACCTTTCATTTGATGTTCAGTTTCCACCTTTGGAGATGGCTCCTTAGGTGCTTCTTCAGGAAAAGATCCACCATCTTTTGAACCATTACTTCTCTCACTAACCTCTTCAGTTTTAGAAGCCATGTTATTCTCAGAAGAGAATGGTTTATCAGCAGTAGCTTCTTCTTCTCTTCTCTTACCAGCTGAAATCTCTTTCTCTTCTGCAACACCAACATTATCTCTTTCATCTTCTAATTCAGGAATCCCTTCTTCTTCCCTGACTTGTCTGAACCCCCTGGTTTCATCATCAAGCATTTGGGAATAAGAACTGTTCCGTGAAGGGTAGGATGACAAGTCCAATGAAGCGAACGGATCCCAGAAAAAGTCCCATGGAGAAGCTTGAGCTGGGGATTGTGATGGGTAGGGTTGATAACCCTCTCTGCTGTACGGGGAAGGGTAGTAATACGAATTCCGAGGAGAATTCATTGAAAAGAAACCTTCGATTCCTAGAGAGTAGGATTCGACTCTAGAAGTCTCTGGAGATTGAGGCCTCTCCTCCATAGAAACTGCTGAATTTCCTCCTCCTGATCTTAAGTAGTTCATAACAGGTGGAGTTCCATGATCGGGCTTTGATGGGGTAGGAGAAAATGAAAGAGGAGACTTCTTCACTGGTGTGAAGATGTGTATTGGAGATTCAAAGTGAATCTCGTGAATTGGTTCTGTCTCTAACTCCATTGTAACTGCTGAAGTTCCTCCTGATCTCATGTAATTCATGACAGGTGAAGCTCCATCGTATGGTTTTGATGGGGTCGAAGATAATGAGATCGGAGTCCCTTTCACTGGTGTGAAAATAGGTATTGGTGATCCAAAGAGAATCTCACGATTACTTTCTTTCTCTAGCTCTACGAAATTATTCAACGCATCTATAAGCCTTCTAATAGCTTGAACATACGCTATGTGACCAGTGGCAAAGAGAATTCTTTGCTCCACTGCTTCTTTGATAAATTTCTTTCTGTCCTTGCAGAGTTGTACGGTTTCCTCATCATCGACCTTTGAAGTGGAACAACCCATCTCTTGTTTTCCTTCTAAGAATTAGCCAAACCCAATTTGAAGCTAGAATAACACCAGGGAAATTGATAACTTTCCTCCAATTTCATAGGATTTTCCTTTGTTTTACTGGCAGATGCCAGGAACTCTCAAACTCTAATTCACTACAGAAAAACAAAAGTTTAGGCTTACCAGCACAAAAATTCATTGATAAATGACAAAATTTAACATGCAAGGTGCTATTTATTTTATACAAGTGCAAGGTGCAAAATTTCAACAGAAACAAGCTTCCACCATTGATTTCAGGCATTTAAATAACTGTGGTGAAAAAAAAAATGAAAACCAAGACAAAGATTTTTCTATACCTAACATAATTTATTCAAAATAATTATACATAAGAATGACGGAAAACAAAATAAATAAGACCCTGAGCCCACTGTTTTTCTGGGTGCAAGAGCTGAAATCAGGGATATATCACACCAAAAAGGGCATACACCATGAGAGCTTATTCCTAAAAGGAAACCATAACCACCCGGTATCAGATTCTAGTCACATTACATGACAAAAAAGAGAAGAATAATTAAAACAACAAATAGAACAATAACTAAAACATAACCACCCCACCAAATACACCATCAATAACAGGGAAACTTCCAAATTCCTGAAATTCCGGCCAAAACCACACCGGGGAACAATTAAAACTAGAAATCCTGTGCCGAAAATCAAACTCTCAAGAGTTAACAGTCATATGATTGCCTTATTTTGCTCTAAATAACATAGGGTGAAAGGATATATGTTTCCTTGATTACCAAGTCACACATAAAAAGGCTAAGACAAGTTAAGTGAGCAGATGACTAACCTTCAATTTGAAGCAGTTGGGTTACTTCTTTATACCTTTGCTCAGCAACTCCACAAAGCAAGAGACAAAACTTGACAACAGCCTCAGAAAAGCACCTATCATGACCAAAAGAAAGGAAAAGTAAAGATAAGGAAACGGTTATTCAAAAGACTAAATCTAGGGTTTTGAATATAAAGGACAATGAAATGCATAAGCCCTAGATGGGTTTGAAGAAGTCTAAGATGCATGAACATAACTAGCACATTTTACCAAAACAGAGTTTCAAAATTGTGAATTTTACCAAGAAAAAGGAAAGAAGGGGGTTTAAGGTGAAATAACCAGACCTAGTTTAGTTTGCAACAAGATTAAGTTTTTGGGAAGAAGAAGTTACTTGAATGGGAAAAAAGTGGTTTGCAAGATTTATATCATGGGTTGCGTTCATCTAAACACAATGTGAATTAAGCCAATGAAATGAAGTGATTTCCTCTGATAAATCTCTCCAAAAATGGTAACAAACTGGTAGTTGAGAATCAAGACAACGGAATAATGTTTCTGATAAGACATAAGTTTACAAGCAATGGAAAAGACCAAGGTTCCGAACCACCAGAAATGTTAAGAGTTGGACTAAAAAATCAGATACTTTTACGGATTTTTCCTGTAAATAGTCCCCAGAATTTACTAAAGACCTCTGGTGTAACTTCCAAAAAGGAAAGAAAATGGGGTTATATCTCAAAACAATGCAAAAGTTGGGCTAAGCCATACCAGTGAAAGTTTTACATAACCAAAAAAATAAGAAAATGTTACAAAATACTAAACTGTAGCAGCGAACTTTGCTAAAAAGAGAAGAAAATGAAATCACGAATAAATAAACAGAGCTATAAATTTTTATAAATGGAAGGTAATGGGAACCAAAAACAACTATTGAGTTGAGAAATGCAGAGGACTTAACGAGCTCCTCTCCTAAAACTTTTCGAATATGAGAACCAATGTGTTACAGAATAAACCAAAGTCGAGATTCTTGATAAGAAAAAAGCAACACGAAAATGGTGGTTTCGCACTGGTAAAAATTCCTACAAATGAAAAAAAAAGCATCATCTTAGAGCCTACAATGCAAAGGGAGAGAATGGCGAAGCATACCAGTAATGAAGAGGAAAACCCAGTTTTTGTTTACAGATAGACAGAGAAGAATTAGAGAGAGCTATAGTGCAAAATGAGAGAAGGAAGAAGCACCCTACTAACCCATAGAAAAACCCAGTTTTTGGTTCAGAGAGAGAGAGAGAGAGAGATTCGAAGAAGTTAGAGAAAGTATAGGGAGTTCGAGAGAGGTTTAGAGAGAGAGAGAGAGGAGGGGAGAGCGATATTGGAAGGTAGTACAGAGGGTACAGAGAGTTACGAAAGAGGTTTAGAGAGAGAGGGAAGTAGTAGAAGAGAGGGTAGGAGAGAGAGAGAGTTAGAGAGAGAGAGAGAGAGAGAGAGGGAGAGATTTTATTTCTTTAGTTTTACGTAGAGAGATTATCTATTTGGTTTTAGAGAGAGAGAGATTTTATTTCTTTACTTTTAGAGAGAGATTTTATTTCTTCAGTTATAGAGAGAAAGAGGGAGAATTATTTATAATATTATATTATTATGAGTTTATGATAGTAAAAGACTCTCTGGCTATGTATTTAGACCCTTAAAGATTATCATTAAAATTGGTATTGATCTCTAAAAAAATTAAAAATTAATTTTTTTATAAATTATTTGAATCACCTATTATTTAGCCTTCGTTTTAAAAATATTGTGAGAAAATCTTTTGTAGGGAAAATCAAATTGGGAAAACCGAAAAAAGGGGAATTTTGTGAAGAAAGGAATACTTAAAATTTAAAAATATTATGAGAAAATCTTTTATAGGGAAAATCAAATGGGGAAATCCGAAAAGGAGGGAATTTTGTGAAGAAGGGAATAATTAAAAAAGCGAAAAAGAAGTCGGCGAAAAAGGAAAAGAGGAATCTCGCCTGTTAAAGTCTCGTTACCTGGCTTCTTACCATGCCCCACCCTAGAAACTAAATTTTAAATTTATTTTTTAAAAATTAAATGGCAAAAGTCGAATCTTGCCCATGCTTTCTGATATATTCATGCTTCTATCCCGAACTTTTAATTACGAAGGACAGGGCCAGTCTCATGAGTGAGACATTATAGGGACCAAATTAATGGCCAAACAACCAAATGTTTCTTTATAATGACAAATAATTGAATAGTGGCACATGAGAAACAATAAAATCCTCCAATTTAAAAAATGCTCGGTCGACTTAGAATCGTCCGGTCTATCAGTCGCACCATTTGGATTTTTCATATATAAAAAAAAAATGGTCCAAGCCTAAAAAGGAATCGGCGGTTTCATATAGTAAATGGCAATATGGACTACTGATTCATCGATTCGAACTAGTTTTTTGCTTGTTGATTATTTTTCCACACAATAAAACGGTAATTCAGACCGCCGATTCACCGATCCATACCGATTTTTGGGATGCCCAATCCGGGTCTATTTTTTAAATCGTTGATAAAATATTTTCACCAATGTTTATGAAATCGGACAGCTTGGTGTATTGAACTGAACCGGCTTGAGTGGTTATGTGTTGGATTGAGTGATTATATTGACAAAATAAATTATACAAATAAATAATAAAAAGGTATAAAAATTATTGACTTATGGCCCACTGGTTCCGGGCTGGCTCATGTAATTCTAAGTGCGGGTTGAAGGCTTAGACCGTTACCTTGTCGGTTTTGAGCCAACTCGAACAGCTCCAAACCTAATCTCTACTGGTGACAAGGCTCATGAATGTGCAGATCTTTGTACCAATTGTGCACGCTTTTACACATAAATTCATGAGCCTGTTAGAAGAGCTGCACTGGACTTTTTTTAAATACACAATTATAATGGGTTTCAATATACTTAAAAATCAGTATAAATATAGAAATGGACTCAAGACGTAGGCGGTTAGAGTGGTAGGTGCAGTAATATGACGTATTGAGTTTCATTTCTAATCCAAATAAATAATCATTTTTCCTCTGATACGCCAAAAAATATATATATATATATACAAGTACAATGCCATGTTAAAATTAATAGTAGTAGTGAAGTTGTAGTGCTGTACAAAATTGGGGCAATTCTTTTGAACGTATCCACTTCCTCTTTGCCAAACCATTGGCCAACAAATTTGATTTGTTGTAGTAGTTGTCTAAAAGTGTTATGGAGCACCTGAATTAACTCTCAAATCTTCCTTTTTAACATAATGTAGCACCACCTTGAGTGTGAACCTGTGGAAGACAGATGGGGATAATTCTGCCTCGGATGGACAAATATTGCACCTTATACCCAAGTTTTGTGTCTCTTTCAAAACCAGGAATCAGATGCCTACTTGGGCACTCCATGATTTGAGCTAATTGCTAATGCTAGAGTCGCATCACCTGTTGAAAAAATAATGCTAATCAAAGAAAAAATAATAAATCATATTGTAACATGAGAGTTGCTCAAGTCCAACACTGAATTTGTGTAATGTGCGGTTCTAAACAATCTTGAGTGATTCCCAATTTCGTGGCCATTTGAAGCCAAGATCCTTGGGGTAGGGTGGCAACAGGTCAGGCTAGATCCGCACCCGGACTAGAAAAATAAATTATAGGACTTGGACCTTATCAGACCGGAATTCGATGGACCCGGTTAGACCCAGACCCAGATTCA